ACGACGCACAAACAGCAGAATCAACACCCTATCACAACATCTCGATGTTACTGTGATCATTAGACCAACAGCAGACATAGCGATGTTATCCTCCCGTCGCCCGTGTTCCTCCCTGGCTCAGAGGACATGTGGTCTCGAGAGTGAATTATGAGCCTGTGAGTGTGACTTTCTCTTCACATCATATCACACACATCAACACTCGACCTTCCCAAAAACACACAACTTGGTGATTTGATTATCCAAAGAATCCCGTGTCCTAAAAATTATCCATGCTTGGCAAACGATACGCAAGTATTTATGGACGCAATTTCACCAACCTCCACGTCAACTTATCGACTTCTTTCAAACTTCCACTTGAACACCTTGGGCTTCCACTTCTTCTGCCCGTTCGCATCACGTGGGCCATCATCATCATCGCCGTCGTCTCCCTCATCGTCCGACCCATTCATGTTGAATGTGAAGCCCTTCCCACCTCCAGAGTCTTCATCTTCATTGTCGCCAGCAATGCCTTCCCCTTTCCGCCGTGATCCACTCGCCTCGACGAGTCGCTTGGCTCCGTTCTGCATCCGTAAGCGTTGGTTTCGAATTTCGAGGAGAGCGTCCTTCAGTTGTGAGTCTCGCTCTAGTCTTGCGGCAAGCTCCTTAAGGAGATGGTGGCGGTGGGCCTAACGAACGAGTGGCGAGGAAGAGCATCCTAGCATCAGAGCTGGTAGAAGCGTGGTCTGGTCGTCAAAAAACGGTGCTCACTCGTGAAATAAGCTGGCGTTCCGCAGCTTCTGCATCGGCATTTGTAGAAGTTGTTACTTTTTCTTTTCCCTTAGACTTCCTTCGTTTCGATGCCGAAGTAGGGGTAGGTTCAGCAGACTTCCACCCCAAGTCTGCTACTTCCTCTTCAGTATGGGTCGGGGCAGGAATCTCTGAAGTTGGTCTCGAGACTTGCTTATATGTCTTGACTACGCAACTCTTCAGAATGCAAACATACTAGTTAATAGCATAGCAGGCGGCTTACCTTCGGCAGGAGAGTCCACAAAAACCACCCGTGAGCCCCGGAGTGGAGCAGGCTCAGGTTCTGAGCGTTTTCTCTTCAACGACTTGGCAGATGACGGAGGAGGAGCGGGGAGAAGGCCTGCGTCGCGGAAGGTTTGAAGCTCAGTATCCTCGAATTCTTCATCATCCACAGCGTCCCCTTCATCCAAAAGGTTGACAAGGTTGGACAACTCTAGCTTGAGCGAAGCAATTCGCTGTGACCCAATTTCAGCAAAGCACAGCATGATAAGGCGGTAGACAACACACCTTGAGTCCCTGCGTCCTCATGGTCCTAATGTAGTTCTCGTCTTGCGATTTCAAGATTTTGGCGGTATCCATTGGGATCGGTGCATTCCCCCGATCTTGGACATGTACACCAGACTACGAGTTTGTTTCAGAATAACAACAAGGCCGAGGGGTCAAATACAACTTACCTCTGTCCGGGAGTTCACCATTGCAAAGTAAAACTCGTCCTTATTCCGCATAGCAGCTTTTTCCTGCAAGCGGTGAATCCGCTGCTGCTTAGAGTGGTAGTCCTTCGCTCGCTGCACATAATCCTTCTTTTTCTCAAGAAGGCCAAGCCGAGAACGTCCAACGAGCTGAGCACGCTCCTTATGGTTGCGCCTGTGCAAGGCATTCCGCATCGACGAGCCAGGCATGTTGGTGAGTGTTTGACGGTGGCCACGGTTTCCCACGGTCCCTTTGGTTCGTGACTCTTCATGAGCCTCGCGTCAAAGCTATCCTTTCCTTATATATTGACCCTACTGTCAGGTTCCACATAAATATTCTAGCAACCACGACTATGTGGTATAATCGTTCTTACTGATTTAGAATGCGTAACCCCAACCCATGAAAATGCCCAGGTTTTTTTTGTGGAACCTACGTAGTCACTTGCCGTGCGCTGGCTGTGATCATAATGGTGCTAGGAGCCCATCCATGGATTCGAAGTGCAGTCTTCAACATATAAACAATCTACCTCGTTGTTAGTAGATCCGCCAACTTGTCTCAGGATCGGATGAGCGGCATCATACCGACTGCACTGGGTCTCTACACAGGACCCTATGTTGTCATCAATACGGCGCCTATCTTATCACATCTTGGAACGTTTGCAGTGATGGTCGTCGCTCGTCCTCACCAGGCCTTGTCCAAAACCGCTGCATGTATGCTTCAGGACTCATTGTCTTCTATGTGTCTGGTAGATACCCGCATCACATGTAGCACAGAGCACCATAAATCCCTAATAGTAATACTGAATATATTTGTGCCGGTCTTTCAGCATCGTGTGATCACCCATAGATTTCCAGAGTTCTCGCGGGTCGCCCGAGACTCCCCAAACGAATGAACCTCGGAGCCGAAGCTCTGTCACTCCCCCTTCCGATCCACTGAGGTGGACCTCCACTTGGGTTTGTTAGCGCCCATTTCACCAGATTCTGCATAACGATAAGTTATGCAAGTTCCTAGTCCTCAAAATAATGTATGTAGCACTATGTCTGTGATGTTGATCATAGTGCTGACGAGTCGGTCGGGCGGGCACCATCATACGTCCTGGGACCTCCCTGCAATAGACAACTAAGCTCTTCCGAGAGGATATCATTCGACTTAACTCCAATGGAGAGCTCTGGATAGTAATGGTGCGTCGGGTTATACTCCCCTTCCTCGTGCGCCGCACAGAGTCACCGTTATGCTCAACACTGCTTTTGTAGAGGTCATGGAATGATCTTGATGAGATGCCACTACCCGATTATCTCAACCAAGACCCCAGCGCGCGTCCTCTTGTTGCTGGTGAAGTTGTTCTAGTGAATCTGGAAAAAACCACAAGGCGTGTACTGTTGGCTTGCTCACCCTAGGCTATTGGCACCATGAGTAACTCACATTGAGACACCCCAAATATAGGACAATTGCCCAAGAGAATGCTTGCTCGTTAATCGAGAGATATTTTCATATTGGGGATACTGTCAAACGATTCCCCCTACGATCAGAGGACGTGATGTCTGGTGTGGTCACAGACAGGAAATCTGAGTTGCTGCTTCGGCATATCATTAGTGAAGAACCCCTTCCAGGCAATGAGTGGGTACCTGAATCAGATCTTGAGATGGCCAATGATATTAATGTTGGTGGTATGTGATATCTCTCTGTGACTCTGCGCCCCTTGTTCACCTCATCATGACATTTGCTCTCTTTCACTCGCCAAGACTTTGTCATACACGGCAACTGGTTGGGAAACGTTGAGGAGGTCGGTTTCTCTCATCTACCCCACCCCCTGACCCTGTGAATTAACGCCTTCGCTGTTTAGATATTTGAGGAGG